TATTCAAAATTCTTCTGTGAGCAGAATGCTACGATCTAGAACCTAATTCAACTTGGCTGTCGCTCTTGGCATTCTTCAACTGACGCCATGGAGACCTATGATGGCTTGTAGCTCTCATCGCTTTTCTCTGGATTGGTTGGATTACGAAGTAAGTTTTGAGGCCTTTGTCCTGACCCTTCCATACTGGAAGCTTACACCCAACATCACATTCTTGGCATGTGGAGGACTCACAAAGGGGAATTCCTTCTCAGAGTCAATCTTGGAGAATGTGTCAGACCGCAAGTGACCTGTCAAACTCAGCCGCACGCCGAAACTAGCAGCTATGATAATCAAAGTCACTATTTCGTGACTCAAATATCTTTTATCAGTACAGTGCATCAGAATCAGTCTGACAGGGAGTTGGGTAGCAAGACTTCTTGCATGTAGCTCACATCGCTCATGAAGAGTTCTGCAGCGCATACTCATTATCTAAAGAATTACTTTAGAATTCAATAGCCAGTAAGTCTAATGAATGTGGTAAGTGGTGAAGAAGACTGTCCCAGTTGCGAAGGCCCACAGCGCGGCCGCCAGCTAGAGAAACTATGTGCTCTCGACGTCGAAGTCAAATGTTGGCATGAATTCATCAGGTGCCCTGGTTTCCCGGACACGAGAGTAAATCAACTTAAGAGACACTACTGATCTCTCAACGGAACTTATCCGCATCATACAGCGAATGACACCCCGAAGATCGTGTCGTTGAAGGTTTCTAGTTACTAGGGAGCATCGTTTACGTTCCTTCATTCGCCTACTACATCTTTGCGCAGGCGATGTTTTGAAGCATGAGAGGCGAAACTTTCGAGTCTTCCACATTGCCAAGAAATGGAAGTAGGCGCATCTGGTCTCATCTAATGCTTGGCGACATAGCAAAAGACGATAAATACCAGAGTCAGCAAAAACTCTTCGGCCAATTCGCCACGACTTTTACCAGGTAACATACCTGACCTTTCAGCTGAGCCAGCCGCTGACGACTACGCTAAAAGAATGGGGTCAAAATTTCCAATACGAGCTATGCAGTGGCTTTCCTGCGTTGCACGGATAGCAAGGGCGATAATGCTGGGAAATCAATTGGTCAAAAGTTCTATGCGCGGTGTATGCGATCTTGTCATCGAGAACATGGGGAAGGCGGAACAGGGCCAAAAAGCCCGCCCTCTGGTCAGTCGTGATGAACGACTGTCGGACTCAACAGACTCGGTTCCTTAGGCCGAGAGCCCCCAAGATAGGCTGTAATTGTGAGACCAAGTTCAAAAAGTAATCTCCTTGAACTTTCTGAAGATCCTTGTACTGGGTCAAGCCAGGCCCTAAAATTGAGGGACGGTTGCATACGATCATGGACTCTTCGTTAACGATGGATCGAGGCTAATTCAAGAGATAAAGCTCAGAAATCTCCACCAGAGTGGCTCATGTCTTCCAAAAGACATTGAACCTTACACCTTCCTCATCGCATTCATCAGCTCAAGGCTTCTCCCCCTCCTCCAGGTGAATGAAAGGCCTACAATAGGTCACTACGGCATCATCTTGTCCAGACATTTACTATGCTATAATTTGCATGCCTAGACCGCATCTGTCTGCTCCAACTCCTCGACTGGCTGACTTTAGTGACTAGCTTCACCCGTCAGACTAGATCCTTAGTACCGACTCACGAGCTATAAGTTTGATCGCGTCGGGGACAGAAAGCGTCTCCACTTGGAGGCCGTGCGGAGGAACATGCGTACGTTGCGCGCCAGAAATCCTCATCATCCCTTGCTTGGCTGGTGGGAATACGAAATCGGCACTCAGTTCAGCGACCCTGGGCGTGAGTCAAAAGCTGTTCAGCCGGCCCCTCCCGCAGCCCCTCCCGCCGCCCATTCCGTTGCCACTCACATTCCACATGGGGTCATCCCGTCAGCCGCAGAAGATACATCTGACAGGAATGTATGCCTTCCATCGGCCGTATGGGCCGCCATTCTGGAACATATTGATCGAAACTCAAGTCCCAATTTGCGGAGAAAGTGAGTCAACGTTCTCGTACGTAATATGCCATGTGTGTCTATGGCGCAAATATGTGGGAGCCGAACGTGGCTAGATTGCATGTTAGCATTGAAGCCTCGGCCACGTGAGGTGACTTCGTGAGGGAATTTGGAGGAGGCCGAACTAGTCAGGATGGATGCTGCGTCAACTTGGGAAGACCTCGCAGCCTCTCGGTTTTGATTAACGTGATCTGACTTCAAGGGCTTGAATATCGTATCATCTATTCCGGGCCATTCCCATCGTCTATCAGGTGGCTGAAAGGTACACATCGCTTCTCTCAGCAGCAACTTTTGTGACTTAGGCTATTGGTGAGAAATAGTGATTCTATACCAAAGCTGACAGTAAGGACTGGTTTCCGAGAGATAAGTCGAACTTGACCATTGAGAGTTTCAAAATTTTCAAGTCATCCAGCGGCAAACGACAATTCTTGAAGGGGGAACAGGGCCCAGAGGCGCCTCCATCTTGGTATGTAGTCATTCTCAAATCTAGAAGTAGGTATATAGGTAGGTCCACTTCGTGTGACATCTTAGTCCTCCAGCCTCATGCAACAATCTGCCATGGCGCTTCCATCGTATATGGCAATAAAGGGATGAGCCCGGAATTTTGGTGGCGTACCTCCTTGAACGCTGTGTTTATGCGTTGTAATTAGCCCTTCCATGTCGTTACCGGGTATGTCAGGAAGTTCGAAGTCAAATTGTGGGGAATCGAGTGGATTATCACCTACTGGGAGTCGAACGAGCCGAAGGCGTTTGGGTCCTCGTAGTCTCACTAGATGAGGAACGTAGGTCCTTTTGATATGGAATTAAGGATCAGTATCAAGCGAGAGACTTGATTCCAGCCGAGAGAGTGGGAGAAGAGGAAAACACCAAGAACGGGATGAGCCTGCTAGCGTAAGCAATGCATCGCTAGCTGCGTCGATCAGAGTGACACATTCACGTACATGAAACATTATTGATCACCACAGCACTCCTGTCAAAAGGGAATGCCCTCAAGTAATAGTTCGAGGCCGAGGTTGCATGAATAAGATTTTGACGTCAGTCTCTGCTCGAGGACTGTAAGAATCTGAGAAAGACTAAAACTTCTCCTGGCTGATTAACAGGCTCGTATTATACCATGATAGCGGGTATCTACGAGTATAGTTTGTTATTGTCATGAATCCCTTGTAAAAGGTGTTGAGAGACTTGAAACAGAGATTTCTAGTTGATATTAACGCCACCAATACCCTAATCTTTGGCGAAATTGACCACGATTTCAGTAAAGGTCTCCCGGCTGGTAAAGACGACCTAATAGATGATGTTCACCTTGCAGGCTCGGTCAAGTAGGCCCAGTCACCGAGAGAGGCAATCTTCTTAACAGTGAGCAGACTCTTCAAGGCCTGCCACTTCTTGTAAGAATCCTTGATCATAACCATCCATGTCTTTGGTTCTATGGCCACGAAGACCCCGTGAATTTGGGTGTATGTGTCGTCAGTATTGGCGTTTTCCTGGGCCAGAGGCACTTGCGGCCGAGGTTCCACGACTCTTGACGAACGATGCGGGAGAATACGGCTGGCGGCTTAGAGTCTGCTTGATCCATACTCCGCACTTGGGGATGCAGGCGCTTGCGGTCTCGGACAATTTGGTACCCGACCAGCCAAGGATGGGAGCTTGAACGTTGCAGTGCATAGTAGCGGGCTTTGCAGAGGTTCTAGTTGCTGCACATCTTAAGTGAGGTTGGGGTCCGTCATGAGTACCGACTTGTACCAAGGCTTGCCGGGGTACGAGAATCCTACGCAGACCTTTGGCCTGACGATGGCTGATATCGATCTCTTCATCAAGAGGAAGACCTAGGACTGAATCAAAGATGGGAGCATACCGGCACCGTACAACATGTCGCCCTGGTAGGCTGCCAAGTGCGGCCTGGTGATCCTTTGTGACGCCCGTCACGCAGCTCTGCCGAGCGTTCGACTGCGGGCGTTCTGACTTCGTCTCTTCGTAGGAGATACATGCGAAGCAGCGGATGTACTCCCCTGGTATGAAAGTCGGGCGGAGGCTGGGCCTTGCGCGGTGTTTGAGGACGTCCACGCCCGTTCTGCCGCACTTGGATGAGAGAGAAGCACAGCCATCCCCCGGTCTGACTCGGCGATAATAGCGGGACGTCGCGCTTTTGCCGAGGAAACCCGGCCAAGCACGGGACCTGGTTAAGCCGTTATCTGAGCCTCAGATATCACGCAAAATGCTGTTTTTTGTGGTCTTGCTTTCTTGAACCACGTTCGTCAGGGGCGCCGAGGCGATATCCTGGACCCGACTATCTAGAGTCTTGGTGGTAGGCTGGATATAGCTAGCGACAACGGGACAATGTCCTTGATTCCACACCACGGAGGTCTTTTGAATTGTAGTAGTATTGTCAAGGGTGTCAAAATAGAGACCAAAAATCATTTACTGGCCTGGTCCGCCGGGACGGATCTGGGAAATTGAGCGGTTGCATAGGAGGTCGCTGACGCCTCCAAATTGGCCTCAGTCTGTCTGTATAGCAAACTCAGTAGGTTGCTTGCTCAGAAAAATGTCATTATAGATGCTTTCAACCGACTCTCTGTGCCACGCAAGCGAGATGTTCTGTTGCAGCTGTCGTTTGAGTCGGAAGGATTCCTTTATGCTGTCAGGCTCTGCCCATATAGAGGATAGTACGAGGGCGACGAAAAGTGTCCAAGAAATAAAGGAGCAGCTCAGGTATACATAGAGCGCAGGGAGTACACTTTGAGGGAGGGGTAGATTTCAGTAATTCATCGCTTTGACCCTAACAGTAGTTGGCCTCTGTGAGCTTCTCCCCTACGTCGTATACCTATTGACACATGTCGTCCAGCAAATGATGCAATTCCCCACTGTAATGCTGCCTACTGTCAGCCATAGTCAGCCTGGGCGCAACACTGATTTCTTAGCCGTCGATAACACATATTGTAGCGACTCTATCAATGACTAAGTGGGTGCGTTCTTGGTGTCGTCCATAAGTATAGAAGTTGCATTGATGACAACCATATCTCTAGCGGAGGCTGAATTAGCACCCATTGTACAACTCCATATAAGAACTTTGGCATCAGGGGCCGTCAAAGGCACGAACAGGGCGAAGTAAAGACGCATGAGCAGCTTGCAGCACTTTAGAAGATAAACCAAGTGGTAGGATATCTACTTAATATAAGCCATGCTACCTTCTTGTATGTGCCATTACCTTGACTCCTTATTTTATTTCATGCCCAGCATCTTTCCTCTTACGCATCGCCTCCATTAACTCGCGCATGACCGTCTTCATACTCTGCATATCAAACAAAGATGCGGAATCACTCCTATCCGCTTGCCCCACAATATCTTCACCTGTTTGCTCAATGGTCGTAATATCCTCCGTGATTGTATCTTGCAAACTCGCAAGCTCGTTCCACGAGTCTGACGAGGGCCTGGGTGTGGCTGGAGGCGCTGCGTTATCTCCAGCAAAGAACTGTCTTGAATCCTGCAGAATCTCCTTGATTCCAAGCTTGATTTTGTCCATCCTGAAGCACATGCTGACACCTGGAACAAGAGCCTTGACCATTTTATGGACTCGCGGAGAGTGTGCCTGATATGCAGCCGCGGCTTTCTCCAAGTCTGCCAACTGAGGTTGAGTGTTGCATTTTCCTGATGCCTCCTGAAATCCTCTGCTGAACATAAGGATCAGATCGCATGCCAGCATCAGTATGAGTCTTGCTGTGGTTGGTACAACAAGAGGAACATTGGAACCGGCGGAAATTAGAAAGAATGGTATCCCTAAAAAGATTCCGGTCGTGATAGCTGAGACGGCAGCGATCGCTTCAGCTGTCGCTGTCGCGATACTGTTGCCTTCTTTGTCGAATATGTTCCGCCCGTAAACATCGAAAGCAGTCTTTCCATCGACTCCTGGGATCCCGAAGCAGGAGAGAATAGCTTCACAAAGCTTGATTGCGGCTAACTTCCGGTTCACGGGGGTTGCTGCGGGCAATCCGGCCGTCAAAGTGGATCTGCGTACGACGTTCTTGTAGATGGCCATAACACTCTCCAGGGCTAGATCCACCTTCAGATCAAGGCGCGCAACCTGAGCCCGAATGTATAGGAGTCTGATCTTCTCATGAGAAAAGCATTCCGCGGTATCACATACCAGGCTTTGAATCGATTTATCATCGTCTGTTGATGTGAGCTTAGGTGTCAGAGGCCTATCTGCGTGGGTACTCTTTAGAATACTCTTTAGAACACAGACCTTTTGACACTGCAACGCAAACATCGAAGCGGCCGCCATCCAAATTCATGATCAGCTTCTCGAGATCGCGGAGCCGCCTATTGACTTGGTCGCGCGCAAATTGAGCCAGATTCTCATAATCAGGCGTCTGGCCCTGGGCCAACGCTGACATCACTCCGTCACTGAAATGAATCTTTTCGAAGTCATCCTTCTTCGTGGCAATCACAATGACTGGAATATCTTTCGCATATTCGGCTATGATTCGAAAAAGTTCCTGAGTCGCTTCTTGCACTGGGCGCTGATTGTTGACTTCGAGACAAAACCTGATGCTGTATTAGAGCTCGCAACAACGGGAGGCGAAGGCATGGAAATATTACCAGATAGCATGAAGACGCTTGTTAATCTCAGTATTCCTCTGTTTCTTTCTCATAAACTCCCTCACAGCTTGGAGCTCAGCGGTAGCAGCCGCTTCGAAGCCCCTAGAATCGTGTATGACGAGATCCGGCCTTCCAGGCCAAGTGAGTTCATCCTGGACATTATGCTCACCTCGAACGTTATTAGAGCTTTTGGTCACCTCTTCACTATCAGGCACGCCAAATACCTTATTGATCAGTGAGGATTTCCCGACCCCAGTGTTGCCGCAAACTAAAATGCGAAGAGGTCCGAAGTCTTTGTAGTCCTGTATTGCCGCGTCGTTCCAGAACCCTTGATTCGGAAAATCCACATCCTGTCCCAAAATTTTGTACCTCCACTTTTCCAAGTTGTCATAGAAGGGGAACTTCTGCATGTCCAATCCAATGCCAATGTACCTGTCGAGAAGGAGGTAGACGGAGGGGTGAATAGTAGTGCCTTGAGGCTCTGTCAGCATCCCGTTTATCTATCACACGTGATCCTAATAGTGGAGAGATAGATTAGTTAAAAACATACCTGAAGAATAGCTCTGCAGTCCGCCACCCTTATCAAAGGGGGTCCGGATTCTCTCTTTCTGAACACCGCCCTTGGGCTTCGCTAGACCGTGTCGAACACTGTATCTTTCATCCTCATGCAACATTTGGATATCCGCCATTTCGAAACGTATCCCATTGTCCGTAGTACAACTCCAAGGATTGCCATGGCCTTCGAGAATTCTGAGCAGGATAGGATCCATAAGACTGGCCCGATCGCCGGCGAATTCAGCAGATCCAAACTTCAGACCTAGCATCTTGCTTTCGCTGACCATCCACTGAAGTGGATACAGCGACAATCCATCTCTTGCAGAGGATCCCCCGATGTTTTTATGGCTACCTACAAACCAGGCTTGCACAGCCAGGTTCCGTTGCAGTTCCTGGTTCATATTGAATCGGGGGGTGTTGAATACGTGTTCTGCAAGCGTAAGTTCATTCAAAGCCAATGCATGGCGAAAGTTCTGAATCACGCTGTTGAAAGAGATGTCAAAGCTTTTGTCGCTACTCATATCCATTTCCATGTCGAATACTCCAACGAATTGGATTGTTGGTGCAGCCCGAGTTGTAGCTTGAAATATCTTCGAAGTCCGGGAAACCGATCAGCAACAGGAGACATGAGCAATGAAATCAACAGCTTTGCTGTTAGAATGTCAAGGCGGACTGCTTACCTGACCATCTCCAAGGCCTGCTCTCCCTTGCCTTCTGCGATACTCTCTGAGAGTTTTTTCGTAGTCGGTTTTGAACTCTCTTTCAGTGTTATCGGCTGATACCAGAGCTCTTACATGGTAAAGTAACCCCGCCACAGCCTGGACGACAAAGCCGCCCCGCCCGAAGCCAAAGAGCCATACTTCATCTTCAGGCCCGGTCAATCGACAACAGTCTCGGTAGACTTCCCTGATATTATCCGAAATCCCGGATGCGATTGCACTAGGCATCGTTAAGCCGCGGTCATGAGATTTGATCCCATTGAAGTAACGCTTCTGCTGTAGGAATCTTTCGCATAATTGATAATTAGACGTCAATTTCGAGACTCAGACTCATATATGTATTCTCGCAGCAGCGTACCTTTTCCCATTGTCATCGGTGATTTCCCCGCCGTAGACGGAGGCGAATAGACGGTACACGTTCGTCGTGTTTTGGTTGTCGCTGGCAGATAGCAAGGACTGGTCTGTATCGCACCATATGCCATCTACACAGACAACGAGACGTTGAGGAACTGGTCGCTCGCCCGCCATAATGGATGCAAGGACAGCAGCGAGATGATTCAATCTCTGGATAACGCACTGCTGTTGCTTCAAAAAGACGTAAGGGAAATTGCAGGAGAAGAAAGAGGATGGCCTTCCGATTGATAAAGACCAAACAAGACCCTGAGGACGCAAGTGCAGCAAAGTTCTGAAATCTGAGAGGTACTCTAAGAGGTATATATCCTAGAGGCGGTAGGCCTCGGCCACTCGAAGGGGCGTCGCAACAAGGCTCCTGGTAGTCGAGTCGATTAACTGCACATGGATTTCAGGCTCGCCCTCTGGACGACAATCTTGCCCAAGTATTGACAGCCAGTAGCCTGAATATATGATGAGAAAGACCATAAACAAGTTGTCTTCTAATCAGGTGCGAATGAAAAGTGCAGTTGAGAGCCCGGGCTACTGTCACGTTGCAGGTGCCGAACGTTCACCGAGTCCTACTTTTGAAAATGCTTTCCTATGATTCTCCAGCTCTGACTGATGGTGGGCAAGATTAAAGAGGAGAATTGGTTGAAAGCCTGGGAACGCGATTGGCAGGTCCATGGTTTGTCTCAGCCTGCGCCGTAGCCTGCTTTAGACACTTGCATTCCTGCGTTGCGTTACCAACTATAGAGAACCTGCACCAATCGTCAATCAATGTAGGCCTCAAGATGACTCTAATATCGTCCCACCGGCATGATACCACCGCCTATCAATCATCAACTGCAAGCTGGACTGGCGCCCGCTCTTGTGTAACTCAACTCTGGTGGTAGTTCTGGGCCCTTTGCTGCCTTGGCAATCAATTCCGGGCTTTCAATTCGCTGAAAGGCCAACGACAAACATGGCTGCAGAGAGGTGCTGGCAAAGCCATTCTTCTCTCTGAGGGTGTCGTCAATCAATGGGTCCCATCGATGAAAGGCACATCGCCACAGCTCGTATCTTACCCCCACGACCCGATCTGGCATCTATGCCTGTACCATCTTCTTATGCGCATTTTCCATTCTATCATCTTGATTGGACGGCGACGCAAGAGCCCGTCGCGCCTTGCTCGTCATGTCTGTTCATCTCTAGATTTTTGTCGGCCCACAAGCCCGAAGATGACACCTTTGGACTTCGAAATCTGTATATCTCTTCTCCGAACCAAACGTCCCTAGGCTTTCTCGCTCAAAGGTGGTTCTTGAAGCTCTCAACATTGAACATGACATGGAATCGTCACCCCCTTCCGGAGAACCCCAATCGGCCCTCAGGCGATGACCTGGAATCACAATCTATTGATCATTCAACATGCGACTACGGCGGTTGGCCATACGTCTTTTGGGTTGAGTGGCTTGGGTGACTGGTTTCGCTTTAATGAGCATGGTAAGAGTTGTCACCTGCCCCAATATTAACCAGTGATCTGTTGATTCGCATGTTAGGAGTAGTTAATTGGAGGTATTAGGTGTGGTATCGAGATCGCACTATCAACGATCTTATCATCTTTCTCGCAAAGCAATAGCACTTTCGCAACGGCTTCGGGAACACCATCCTGGGTGGCTGGATTCTCGTAAAACCGCTGCAGCTGCGGTGGAAACGATTTTGTTCCTGTCCACGGCCCTGCAGAGCCAAGCACCGCCTTTGTCTTTCTCTCCGGCGAACACCAACCTTTTTCTACTTTAGTCCACTCTCTCTTTCAGCTCCTCTTTTAATCGGTAGAGCCACGCTGCCTGATGCTTATGAAGATACCGTTCGCTCTGGTATGTCTATCACCAAGGAATACTTTCTTCAGAGGCGCTTCACGCTGACTCTAGCCCTCAATACTTCCACAGGCCTTGCTTGTGCCTTTTTGATCACCTTACGTTGGCAAGGTCGACTCAGCGACTAATCCTCCGGCTGGGAGGGCGCAATAATTGAGCATGGCTAGCATAGCAAACGCAGACAGGCCATCGCATATCAATTTTCCATAAAATAAGGAGCAACTCATATCGCGCATTGAAGATTTCCTTCCGGTCTTTCCGCGATATCCTCTGGGAGGGAGTTGGTTTGGAGTTCCGCGCACCATAGTTGACTTTGCTGCCTTATGGTTTTGCGGCATGTGACCAATTAAGACATCTGTATTACCGTCTTCGAGTTAAAATTATAGATCAGACTAGAAAACCGATAGTATCTCAGTGAGAAAGATTCTGGTGGGATGTGCGAGCGTGTACTATTTAATGCTGGGACAGAGATCCCCTACGTAAGCATTGCTTCTTTCAATGGATTCACGTATCAACCAGACTTTCGGGGCCGATTGAAGAAAATCAGACTATATTCCAGCCTGATGGCACAGGTAAAAGTCGGAGTTTGTCTTTCCCTCTTCGTTCTTTCGACCAGGAGAAGGGTTCTCTTTGTCCTAACTCCCGCCGAAGCTTTCTAACTACTCCGAAACCCTGGTGGCATCTTGTTGTGACAACGAGAGCGATCCCAGGGTGAGTAACGACATGGTGTTTGATGACCTGCAGTCTGCTGCGAAACAGCATAACACACTACGCCGCATCACATTCAACACCTCTGTTACAAAGGCCATATTGACATCCCTCCAGAGTAGTTTTGAGCTGGAAAATTCAGAAAACTATTTTTTTGCCCTTAAGGCTGATTGCCGTGGCCAGAGTCACATCGATACTCTTAATGCCGGAGCCTGTCAATAGATGTACGACGTAGGGAAGAAGCTCACAGAGACCAACTGCTGTTATGGTCAAAGAAATAAATTACTATAATCTGTACCCCCTACGAAGCGTACTCCTTGCGCTCCATATATACCTTACCTGCTCCTTTGTTGCTTGGATCTTTCCTGTCGCCCTCGTACAATCCCCTATTCGGGCAGAGCTGACAGAGCCTTTCTAGCCAGGAGACTCTGTCTATCCCCCATATCCGCTCGTGGAGTTTTGACACATGCTACAGCGCCTTGAGTCTTCGATAATTGAATCCGTCATCATTGCTGGCTCCGCCAATTCGGTATGTGGTGCCGTATATTTGTTGCTCAAGATGGCCAAGGGAATGACGTGAGTCATCACTACCAAGGGTGCTGGTTCTCTTGTCATTCTGTTTTTGATGATCCTGGGTACAGTGAACTTCATCGCCTTCACCCCTAGATGGCTCCTATTGCTCCTGAGCTACTCAAATCTCAATGCAGAGAGCAACATATTAGGATGTTCCAGAGGACCGAACCAGGTTGTTGATAAGTTGTTCAAATCTGGGACTTTCTCGATCTTGCAAGCCAGAACCACGCTGGTTAATTCGTGGCTAGTGACCACGTGAATATTCTCAGGCCCGAGATCGACAGAAATGGTATCATCCTAGGCCCATTTTATTTTAGGTGTCGTTATACTGTCCGATTTCCGGCCGATGCTCCGTGGCGATCGCTTGTCTGTGATTTACGATAAGCTCCTTGAGCCCAAAAACAGCGCGGCACTACTGAGGCTCAGCAAGCCTATCGGGAACGGCAACGGCGACCCGTCATATGCACTGGTTTGGACGACCGCTTCGGAATTTACGGTCAACACTAGAAGCCCGACCTTGGACTTCATCATTAGTCTTCTGATGACAATAGCATTATTGACCGGAAAGCTACGAGGCGGCTGCTAACGAAGACGTCAACCAAATTCTATCATTTTCTGCTTCATTGCTCTAGCTGGCTTATGAGCAACTCTCGTCCCCGGATCGACAGCAATTGTGGCGCCTTTATTGTCTCATGGTCCCTATTGAAATGGGCAACGGTGAGAATTGTCTTGCCATCATGGGACAAATCCACATGGTTCCAACGTCACTGGACTCTGCGGTTCAATCTATCTAGTCTTTATTGTATTGTCAAGGTCGAACCAAACTCCTGGATATGGTGTTAATGAACAAAGAGGCTTCACTACGAGATACGTGGATACTAAAGCGGTCTCTCAGTCAGGGACGAGAGTTTCATTACTCGCGGCATGGTTTTCTTCTGGTGAGAGTGTTCCTTCCAAGACCCATACCTAGTCTTGAGAACCGCTTGAAGTGATCATAAATGGACTCTATGGTAACAGCTCGAGCGCGGCCTTGCTGGAGTAAGATTAGTAAAAGCTAATGTAGGCGAGCTGAGTATCTTCGAACTATCCCGATGTCTCTCGCTTGGTTTTGATCATCAGCAGATCTACTCCGTTGTTCATCGTTGCCTAGGTCATCTCTTTTCATAAGGTTTGTTGCAGGAGGTGGATCCTTTGACTGGAATAAGAATCGAACATGCGGAGCGCCTGTTTGTGATGAGTCAGAGATTGTCGTCATCCATTTACCGCTTTATTTAGAAGACTCTCAGCCGCCAGGCTCTCGCGCGTCACGGGCCATCTAATTCGTGGCTTAACCGAGTGATGTTAGGGCCCAGCTAGCTTGAATGAACTGTGTATAGACCGAGATGCGTGGAATGAGTTTGACGGCACGAGAAGACTGCGTAAAGCCTCGGACTCGAGGCTTGGACTCGAGGGATTTCATTAATCAGAAGTTCCATGAAATAAAAGGTATCATTCACTGCGTCTAGTACTCAAGTTCTGTTATAGATGCAGAGCGTTTGGGGTCACCTTTTAGTTTCGTAGCGGTCGGTTTATTTGTGATGGGTTCGGCTTGCGTTAAGTTGAATGGGTTGCAGCGGGCTCCAGTCAGGAGAACAAGCCAGTGGTGCACGGAATACACAAGAAGGCTCTGGTTTGTTTTCACTATTCAGTGGTTGCATATTCATCACCCAGATTAAGGATAATCTGAGGTCTTCTTGACCTTGCTCGGCCTCTATTTAGGTTGAGCTTACTAAAACGTATGAGGCCCGAGTCCGTGTCGCTTTCCTTAACTGATATTAATATGGATGACCTCTTGAGAATCTAACGAAGACCCGGTCTTATGTAAATATGCTACTAGTATTTTTTAATTCTGATAAGGGTCTTGTTGCGAGAGTAGCGGGAGAAGAAGTCATTGGAAATTCAAACTGCGTTGTTGCTGGCGCTCATCCTGCAGCATTGCTTAGTTAAAATGGCCCTGATGTG